TTATTCAAAACATCATAAAATATGCAACAAATAGAGCATGTAAACAAATAAACAATAGATCAAAATACCATTTTGCACACGATTTAAATGAAACGAAAGTTGATTACTTTGTACAACAAGGCTTTATGAGACCTTTACATACTTGTGGCTAAAATATAATACATTGTACCACAGTTAAACCCAACAATTTTTGTAGAAAATTTGCTCGAGTGTGACTCAGTGTGTGAAGTTATGAACTGAGAAATATTTTACCTGTAGTTGCGACTTCAAATATCGTCTTTGCGGATGTATTTCGAGGTTTTCTGTCTTTTGAGGACGAGAATATAATGTGTACAACTTACACACATTTGAACCAGTGGTCAAAGGTACAAAAAATATGAAAAAATCAAAAACTACGAGAATATACTGCAAATACTTCAACAAGCAAAAATATTTTAATAAGAACCAGGGGGGTGTGAAAGTCGTAGCGGGCTCAAAATTGAGCCTGGTCAGTGGTAATTACCATGAGCCGGAGGAACCATATGGCGTCATTCTGGCGTCAGCAAAGGCCGAAATCCGCCATGTTTTTGCGGACACTTTTTGATGCCGAGCACGTCCTCCAGTAATATAGTATAGCTCAGTGGCTATGATGTACAATCCAGTACTATGATGTACATCCAGTGCTATGATGTACATCCATGCAGTGCTATGATGTACATCCAGTGCTATGATGTACATCCAGTGCTATGATGTACATCCAGTGCTATGATGTACATCCAGTGCTATGATGTACATCCATGCAGTGCTATGATGTACATCCAGTGCTATGATGTACATCCATGCAGTGCTATGATGTACATCCAGTGCTATGATGTACAATCCAGTGCTATGATGTACATCCATGCAGTGCTATGATGTACATCCATGCAGTGCTATGATGTACATCCAGTGCTATGATGTACATCCAGTGCTATGATGTACATCCATGCAGTGCTATGATGTACATCCAGTGCTATGATGTACATCCAGTGCTATGATGTACATCCATGCAGTGCTATGATGTACATCCAGTGCTATGATGTACATCCAGTGCTATGATGTACAATCCAGTGCTATGATGTACATCCAGTGCTATGATGTACATCCAGTGCTATGATGTACATCCAGTGCTATGATGTACATCCAGTGCTATGATGTACATCCAGTGCTATGATGTACAATCCAGTGCTATGATGTACATCCATGCAGTGCTATGATGTACATCCAGTGCTATGATGTACATCCAGTGCTATGATGTACATCCATGCAGTGCTATGATGTACATCCAGTGCTATGATGTACATCCAGTGCTATGATGTACATCCATGCAGTGCTATGATGTACATCCAGTGCTATGATGTACAATCCAGTGCTATGATGTACATCCATGCAGTGCTATGATGTACATCCATGCAGTGCTATGATGTACATCCAGTGCTATGATGTACATCCAGTGCTATGATGTACATCCATGCAGTGCTATGATGTACATCCAGTGCTATGATGTACATCCAGTGCTATGATGTACATCCATGCAGTGCTATGATGTACATCCAGTGCTATGATGTACATCCAGTGCTATGATGTACATCCATGCAGTGCTATGATGTACATCCAGTGCTATGATGTACATCCAGTGCTATGATGTACAATCCAGTGCTATGATGTACATCCAGTGCTATGATGTACATCCAGTGCTATGATGTACATCCAGTGCTATGATGTACATCCAGTGCTATGATGTACATCCAGTACTATGATGTACATCCAGTGCTATGATGTACATCCAGTACTATGATGTACATCCAGTACTATGATGTACATCCAGTGCTATGATGTACATCCAGTACTATGATGTACATCCAGTACTATGATGTACATCCAGTGCTATGATGTACATCCAGTACTATGATGTACATCCAGTACTATGATGTACATCCAGTGCTATGATGTACATCCAGTGCTATGATGTACATCCAGTACTATGATGTACATCCAGTGCTATGATGTACATCCAGTACTATGATGTACATCCAGTACTATGATGTACATCCAGTGCTATGATGTACATCCAGTACTATGATGTACATCCAGTACTATGATGTACATCCAGTGCTATGATGTACATCCAGTACTATGATGTACATCCAGTACTATGATGTACATTGTGTTCTACCAGTAACCAGTTTAACCATGCAACCATTATAACAAATTCAAAACACAAAGTCAGTTACGCATACAATGAAAAATTAACTAGCTCTGGTAACTGTGTTTCTTTTTGGAGTTGAGCACTAAGCGCTAAATGTACCATCACCATATTTACCTGTCAAGAGCAGATGGTGTTGCATGTTCAATTTTATCTAAAATTTCATCCATAGTTTCCACACCTGTATATCCACTACCCCAACCCAACACCCGAGCAAGATCATTGCCGGTGCCAAGGGGAAGAACAGCTACATAAGGTGGAATCTAACGAGTAAATAATCAACAGAAATTATAGTCACTTCATCGGTCATAAAAAGACATATAGACTCAGGGGTGGATTTACTGGGGGGGAGGGGGTGCACATCCCCCTCGCCCTGGCCAGAGGGGGTGCAGGGGGAGCTATTTTTTATGATAAAGCAAAAAAGACAAAATAAGATACAATAATCTGAGTAATACTAATCTGAGTAATAGTAAATAATAACATGATGATAAGTGAACTGTGAACAACAATTACAATACAGTAGTTGATGGGCGGGCGGCACGTGTGACTGACACAACTCGGCAGTCTGCACCAGAGCACCCCCCCCCCCCCTTACCAGATCATGCTGATCCATTCATGTATAGACTTGCAAGTGTCAGGTCAACTTCCATAATATTGCAGCCATAATTTAAATAAAGTCATTTCCTAGATGAATTTGCTGATAAGTTTTTCCTTTGTCAGCATTGCTGATCACATCAGCAAAAGTGATGCAGACAAAGACATTTCACACCAACAAATTCCCCTTTGAAAACAAGCTTAAAATATAATCCTAATGTTATAAGCCATTTGTACAAACATTATGGTCATAATATGTCAGCTTACTTTGATATTTGCAGAATCCAAAGCACCCAAAACCCAGCCCACCGTGCCGTCTCCACCACAGATCAAAATACGACACCGGTGGTGTGGCAAGAGTTGACAAAATTCCAAAGCTGATTCTGGGGACACATCCATAATATCCACTACCTGACAAACATGTGGAATATTGGTTACATCAGGGTAGAATATTGCTGCATGTCAGTGGATGAAACCATCTGGCAGTGTTCTGTGTTGTACTCTTAAAGTGGTGCAAACTGTCAACAGCTTTTTGACAACTTGCTACAAGGTTGTTGAGCTCAATAGATTTGTTACACATTGTTCCAACAACTTGTTATCGTCCTGCAATTCAACAATTCGTCAACAAGTTGTGAGTGACAACCTTGTAGCAACTTGACAAAACAACAGCTTGTTGACAAGCTTGCTACAAGCCTGTTGCCAGAGGCGCCGGAATATCGATAATAGCGGGGGCAGACATTCATATATTCGTGTTCACAGACTGTAAAAACAATCGATTTCAAAAGAAATTAACTGGGCAGAACACGAATATGCCCCCCCCCTCAATTATCGATATTCCGGCGCCTCTGCCTGTTGCAAACAATCTTTTTGACAATTTGTGAGATTTTTACATGTCTGAATTAAATTACCAAATTAGATTACCAAGATTAGATTACCTGGATTGGATTAAGCAATTCCCGAAAAGCTCTGAGCAACCGCTCTCCTTCATTTTCACCACTCTTTCTATTTGCTAGAACCAACAATGGTGACCAGTTTTCAAATTTCGGTGGATCGACTTCCCGTACCATGTAACGCCTGTACGCGCCTTTCCACCTCTCGTATTTCACTGTTATACAATATGGCGGCACTATCATGGTTTGAAATTTTCCAAAATCACAATCGCGAGATATCATTTGGATGCAATTCTCGTGAACAGTTCGCTGGCACCAGACACAGCGCAAGTCACAGAGCCGCGGTTCGGTACCACAATGTGTGCCGCAGACGTCACACACGCTGGTCAGGGCTAAGTTTCCTCGCACCCAATGATGTTTCATGATAGTTCGCTTGGATAACACAACGACTTTGCAAGCATGTTTCTTGTTTGCAGCGTCTAAGCATTGATCATGCACAGACAGCCCACATGTATCGCAGAAACTCCCTCTCACGACCGAAACTTTACACCAATTACAGTAAGTAGGTTTATCTAGGAAATCTGTATGATTCCATCTGTGGCCCCGGTGAGGATCCCCGACCTGCAAACCCTTTTTGAAACGACGTCTGCAGAGTTTCGTTATAAGCCAACACACAACAAAACACAGCAAGCAATAGAATATGATCTGACTTGAATCTCCACGCCAGTAGAGAAAGTCTCGGACAATTTTTGAACAACTTTCAAATCGAGTTTCTTTCATTCTTCATGTTTAGAAAAAATCCACCTGCGAAAAATCACATCGTTCAGAAGTAGATTGGGGTCCAGTCTTCGGACGTGCGCGCCTCTGGAGAATGTTAATGGCCGTTTTCAGCAGCAGCGACGCCATATTGAGTCGCGATGCATTATGGTATAACTGGCGAAATGGCCATGTTAAAAATAGGTACATACGCGTACACGCATCTGCACGAAAGTATTTCTATGGTAGAAATATGGTCATTTAAGCCCGGTTTACACTATCAAAGTTTCTGTGATCACAGTAGGAATTTTGCATACAATCATACAGGTAAAAGAAATGTTTGATGAAACTGATAGACTCAGCAACTCAGTAACCATGTATGTTTATTATGTTTTATAATCAAGCTATTAAACCGAAATACATAATACACCATGGCAACACGAAAAATCCCTTTCTGAAGACCACGAACCCGAAATAATGTTGTGCTTTTAATACGTTGGTGAATGTTTCATGTCCTTTTCCGGCGAATACCAAGAGTTTTGTTTTGGTACTCAAAGCGGCGCCCCAAATAAAGATGTTCAAGGACTTTCTGACGTAAACTAAGCTAATTAAAATCTCTGGAACTCCCACTGATCAAATTTCAAAACAAACCATACAAAGAAAAATGCAAATGTTGCACTATTAATGACATTAATGACCAGAGGAAGTTATCGATCAAAGAAGGCTTTGCTAATGTTTGGGAAAATTAATAGACGTTTTCATCGTTGCTGGTTGTTTGGAATTATGGTTGAAAGGCTACAAAGATGGTAGCATCGAATGTTACAATGTCAATTTGATACAAATGTATTTTCGGTTTCGCGTATTAGTTTATTTGACGTGAACAGGGGTGAATTTCAATTTCAAATGTGAAATATTAAACCAAAAGCGGAATTATATGAACTAGTCAAAGGTAAGTGTGTTTCAGTAGCATGCTGGTCCACTGGATAAGCTATCCTTTATGTCCATCTGGGCCGATTGTTCAAAAGCCGATTAACTTAACCCCAGGTTAACCTAAAATTCAAAGCAAACTTCCTGACAGTTTGTTTAAAAATTTGAAAATGTTTCTTCGAAGATCTTGTCTTGATCGATAGGAGTTTACTTCTCTGACGTTTTGAGATAAACAGACGTGCGGAAATACACGAACCAACACGGTGGGTTAAATTAACCGACGCCAGAACTGACAGTGTATTAGTTTATAGTTAATGATTATATAATTAATAATCAAGTTTTCTGTTTACATGAATAACATGTGATCTCAGTTGTGGACGTGATGTGTGTGATTATTTATATTTCGTATTAAAAACACTAATTTTCAATTTACTAAATAGATAGCTTTCCAGATAGCTTTCTGTAACGACGTGAAAAAGCACATATCCGTACATTTAAGGAACGCAATTTTAGAGGAATTATTGCAACGAAGACTCGAGCGGATGTTGTTTCGCTCAGCTTCTGAGAGTTGTACATTCCGTATGGGATAGGTGTTTTTTCGCGCCGCTACGCAAAGCTATCCAGTATAGTAGATCAGTGATCATTATACCTACGATCAGACAAAGCAATTATTAGGCTCGCGTTATTGAGGATTTTACCGAGTTTTTGCATGTGCATTTGATAGATTCTTGTTGTATAAATAAAATGTTTACTATGTATGTTTGCTGATCTCCCGTTCAGACAGAACATCAAAGAATATTGGATCTTCTGACGGAATAGGATAAATTTCAAAATCAGCTATTCTGGTTGTATTTCAACCCCTTCTTGAATTTTGTAAAGGCTGATTTCCACTACACAACTTTTGCCCAAAACTGTCGCATGCAACCTGCTTACAACTTGAGTTGTACTGTGTAAATCAAGGATACAACTTACCTATGACAACATAAGTGAGTTGTGTGCTTGATTTACACAGTACAACTCAAGTTGTAAGCAGGTTGTATGCGACAGTTTTAAGTAAAAGTTGTGTACTGTAAATCGGTCCTAAGAATATGTCGTGTCATGGTGTGTAGTTTACTAAACAAATTGAATCCAGTGAAACCCATTTCCCCATTATCCATTCTCTTGCAGAAACACGTACATCCCTAAGTCTAAGACAAAATGAACAAGAAAGCCGACACGTACAACCATTCAGAATTGTCGTTACTGACTAACGAACACGGATCAGGCAACGATATTTCACAAGTTAAAGACAAGATACCTAAGATAGATTTCATCTTGGTATATACAGATGACACAGGCAATCAGGAAATTGACAAAGGCAATCAGGACATTCGTGATATATACGAAACGAATTTAAAACGGCGAGGTTTGAAACTGGTAAATATCACCGATATAACTAATTCTAGATGGAATTTCGTAGAATTTTGTAGATGGATTTTCGTAGAATTTTGTAGATGGAATTTCGTAGAATTTTGTAGATGGAATTTTGTAGATAGAATTTTGTAGATGGAATTTCGTAGAATTTTGTAGATGGAATTTCGTAGAATTTTGTAGATGGAATTTCGAGTGTGAACTTTATACTTTATTAGACCCTTGGTCGTTTGAAACTGCTTCCTTAAAGGCTGATTTCCACTGTTGCGTTTTTCATACGTACGTATACGCACGTAAAACTTTAAATCCATTTAAGGAGGCTCCCTACAGTTGCGTGCGGGATCTTCGCGGGACCAGTACGTGAACTATCCCACGCAACCGCATGATCAAAACAAAACAAAATTTTCTTTTTAAAAAAAAGCTATTTCTGAAAGGTTTCTAATGGGAAAAAGCGTTGAATAATACTTCGTTTTGTGTGCCAAATTACTATACAGCAATTCTACATATGATACGAATACCACTAGACCAAAAAATAGCTACGAAACAATGTGTTTTAATGTTTTTAAATATACATTGTCAACTGTAAAACATTTGCAAAATTGCATACAAACGTTTAAAAAGTTGTTTATTTCTCAAGAAAACGTTCACGTTTTTAGTCGTGTTTCTACAAGATTAAAGTGATTATATGTAAACAGAAAAATATTTCAGTTTCATAGCCTAATTGTTCATTTTTAGCAAAAAGTACAAAACCAAACATGAAACAAAAAAAACACGTCCACCTGTTAGCAGGCTGTTACAGCTCATAGATTGAGTAAACGGCCGGATTCAATTAGCTTCAACCTTGTTTTCATCGATTTAATCCTCCACAATAATCCTTGGCTGTCCATAGCACTCAAATAAATCGAAAAGTTGACAAAAACAAAACAGTAAAAACAACATTGCGGCTCGATTTTGCTGAATGAAAACTCGTTCTGCGCCCGCGTACAATCTTTTACTAGTCAGCGACGCTTTTCAATAGGGGAATTTCTCGAGTTACACGAGGCTATTTTCTAACTTTATTTGCATTTTACTCATTAGTTTCATCGGTGACCTATCTTCAAATTTTGACCACGAATTTATTTTGCGGTAAATTTTATAAATTTCAAATTTTAAAAAAATCTGTAGTGTGGAAATTTCGCAATAAATTTTTCGCTTTTAAAAAAATCACACACTACAGAATTTTTTTAAACTTTCACCACAGTTGCAGAGCATCATTCCTTATTGATATATGAAATAAAAAAGATAGGTCACCGACATCGTTTTTGAGATAGCGGCACATTTATGGGTTAAATTGGAAGGCTTTATGCTGTCGTCATGTTGCCATGGGAACATTGACATCGTCGAAATCCAGTTCGAAATATTCCTTAGGTGACCAATATTGCCACCAAGTCGAAAGGAATTCGCGTTTTGCACGAATAAGCCTGTTTTACGGAATTATTGCTTAAACAAGAATAACTGTAGGGAGCCACCTTAAATGTTACTTATGAAATACCCAAATAAACAAAGCAACAGAATTTAGTGTTCCGCAAGTTTTAGTATACATTTGTTAACTTAGTAAAATATTTAAAAAATAGAAGGATTCAAAGTTTTACGTGCGTGTACGTGCGTACGAAAAACGCAACAGTGGAAACCAGCCTTTAGTTCTTCTACGGTTTGTAAAATGTTCCGTTTTGGGGGTTTTTTTTTGGGGG